GGGGCGGGGAGCAGCCACTGCCCTCCAGTTGGGGTAATGGAGTGAGACTCCACTCAAAAAAAAAAAAAAAGAAGAAAATCTCATAGTTTGTGATCATGTTAAGAGATTTGGATCTTCACATGGCATCTGTTTGGGGTTACAAAATGGATATACGTATGTCTAATCAGTGTTCTCAAAGTGGTCTAGTCTAACCTAAAGACTTGATACTCTCCTGAAATATGTCCTTATGAGGAGTAAGTTGTGAAAGAGATGCCTCTTTCAGTGGGCTAAAGAACGTGGGCTGATGGAAAACAAAAGAACTTTCCAGTTGATTGGTATCAAAGGTAAGGTTAAGAGGAAGCAGATCTTTCAAAAATCCAGGAATCTTAGCTTTAGGGAGTTCAACTACAGCAGGATCTCTGCCAGATTGATAGATAGATGCTCCCAGTATGCCATCCAGCAGGTCAGGACAGGCTTTGGACCTATGGCAGGATGGTGCCCACAAAGGAACATGCCTGTGGACCTCAAGGGAGGAAGGCAGCAGTTAGCTGTGGGGGCTTCCTTGGACTCACTAGGATTGAGACATGGGCTGGGAAGTAGAGCATCATCTCACTTGGTACATACTTTTGAATCTTTGCTGATAACGTGTCTCTTTAAATTATATAATTTGTGTTATAAAAGCTCAAGTCGTCTATTAAAATTTCTTGACAGCGAAGCTTGGTTCTTCCATTCAGTGTAGACTTCATTCAGGGTAAACACATGTCACCAGACCAAATCCATTCCAATTATAGAGAATATGTCTGTTGGAATTTTCTAAGCCATTACTATTTTTCTTCAAGAGGAAAGAATAAACAAAACCATATTTAAAAAAAAAAAGGCAGACATGGAGCCCATAGTTATGAATGGCATGCAGCAGAAAAGGAAAATTCAACGCCATCAAGGTAGTGTTGAGGAGGCACACCTGATGCACAGGGAGCAGTGACCGGAAGCTGCACTGTCACAGGCTCTGGCATAGAGTGATGGGAGGCAGGCCAGCCTCCACTCACCTGGGTGTGAGCTACTTCCAGCCCCTGGCATAGCCATCTCACTTCTCTGTACCCCCACTTTCCCAGCATAAAATGAGAGGATTGTGGTTGATTTTTTGGTAAGGTTTCTTCCCACTCTAAAATTTCCAAATTCCAGGAAAATGAAAACCTGATCCCTTGCCATAAACATGCATCAGGTTAGATGATAAGAGAGCAAGGCCCTCGTGATATGTGACATTAATACTGAGGTCCGGGAGCCTATAACACACTCCTTGCAGGGCTAGTGATAGAAGTGACTCATTCCTACAATTAAATGATACTATTGTTAATTCCATCTTACTGTCCTTGTATCAGCTCTTTCATGCTCTTTGATCTTTCTTTCTTGAGGTAATACACACTTAAAACTCAAGCCTGAAAACACAGAAGCCTTTGTAGTCTGTATTATAAATGTGCAAATGCTATGCTGACCAATCTTACTTTGTGTTCTAGAGACCGTGTAATTGGTTTGATGATGACTGCCTGCGATCTTTGTTCTGTGACAAAACTGTGGCCAGTTACAAAACTGACAGCAAATGATATATATGCAGAATTCTGGGCAGAGGTATGTCCTTGGTTCTTTTATTAACATGGATGCTATTAAGAATTCGGAACATATTTGAGGAGAAATTAAATATATGGATAATTTGCTAACAATATTTTAGTTGTTCATGTTGATTGTTATATCAGAAAACTATGATCAGTCATATACCGTTAAGGATGTAGCAGTTGTGCAGATGCAAAGTGAGAATGGTCATTCTCTTACATCTTACTTGAGTATGTATGTAAATTGCCTGATCTCAACGGAAAGAGTTTAGGTACTTATTCACTGAACAACAGTGTAACATCTTGTCTTACTTAGTAGCTAATCTTTTGTTCACTCATTGAGTAAACATTACTGTCCATCTCCTTTACATAATCACTGGACAAAATCCTCAGAGGGGCCCATAGTAAGGGCTGTATCTGCTTGCAGCTAGAAATTCAGGAGAATAATCATTTTGTACCATAGACAGAATAAAATATGTAAATATACCCAATGGTCAACTCATCTGCAAATTATGAGTTCTGTAGAATGTATGGAATATTAATTCATAATTCTCCTGGAACAAACACATGTATGACTTTCATTCATACTTTTTCTTGACTGTGATATTGAATGATAACTGTTAAATGAACTGTAGTCACACTGCACTTCTGAGGTAATCTTGCAGGCACTTCCAGTTGCTGGTGAGGTGACCTCATGTGTTATGAGTATCCACTCAGTCACCTCCATGTGACCAGTTTGTCTCTCCAATCAATGGTGTATCAAAGTAAAAAGTGATCTTGCAGGTCTTGCATATTTTCCATTGTGTCTAGTGCAATACCATAAATGCTGAATAACACCATGGAACCATGTGAAGTTCCGCTAGTGATACTGGAAGAGCTCCCAAGAAGCAAAGGCATGGCATTCCAAGACCAAGTCAAATTGCTTGATATGTAGACTGTAGGTTGAGGTCTGCAGCTGCAGTGGCCCATTTCTGAATCCAGAATAAAGACTATAAAAACAGAAAAGGAAATTCATGAAGCTATCATTGCAGCTATACCAGCAGGAGTGAAAACCTTGCACTTTCTGCGAAGTACCTTTTTATCTCATATTGAAAATGTAGTTTTTATGTGAGTGCAGGATTGCTGTGAGAAAGGCATACCTACAGACTCTGATATGATGGGAAAAGAAGAGACATCATTGTAAGATGACTTAAAGCAAAAGGAAGATGAAGGATCTAAAGCTGGAGAAGTTAATGCCAGCAAAGGATGGCTTGATCATTTTAGGAAGAGGAGTGGCTTAAATGTCAAGGTAGCAGGAGAAGCAGCTTCTACTGACCGAGAGGCAGAAGACGAGCTTTCCGATGTCATTAAGAAAATCATTGAGGAGCAAGGAAGTACCCTATTCTGAGCCCCCTCCCCTGCAAAAAAAAAAGTCACAAAGGACGTTTATTGGTAAGGGAGAGAAATGAGGTCCAGGGTTTAAGGCAAGAAGGGACAGGCTAATTTTACTGTTTGTGCAAATGCAGTTGAGTTTATGATCAGGACTGCCTCTACCCATAAAGCTGCCAACCCCAACCCTTGAAGGGAAGAGGTAAATGCCCATTGCCAGTCTGTTGGTATACAACAAGAAGGTCTGGATGAGAGCTCTTTTTCTAGGTTTGTTCTATCCATGCATTGTCTCTGAAGTCAGTAAGTATTTTGCGAATAAGAGACTACATTTTGAAGTTTTTTGATATTGGATGCTGTATCTAGCCACTCATAACCCCATGAGTTCAACATCAAAGATGTTGAAATGGTCCTGATCTTCTTTCCCTCAAGCACACGTTTCCAATTCAGCCTCTAACTTAGGGGCCATACAGACCTTTGAAACTTGTTTCACTTGGACTCTATGAAAAGGATTGTCCATGCCGTGGAAGAGAACCTAAATAGAGAGAACATCATGAAAGTGTGGAAGAATTACATAATTGAAGCTGTCATCATTGTTGCAGAAAAAGTCATGGAAGTCATCAAGCCCAAAACAATAAATTCCTGCTAGAGAAAACTGTGTCCAGATACTGTCCTTGACTTCACATGATTTATGTCAGAGCCAATCAAGGAAATCATGAAAGAGGTTGTGGATATGCCAAGAATAGTTGGGAGTGAAGGGTTTCAGGATCTGGATCTTGGAGAAATTTAAGAGCTAAAAGATAGATACCACACCAGAGGGAATAACAGAAGATGCCCTGATGGAGATGAGTGCTTCCAAACCAGTGCTGTAAGATGAGGAAGAGGACATATAAGAAGCAACGCCAGAAGACAGATTGACACTAGACAGTCTGGCAGGAGGGCTTCCATCACACAGACTGCTTTTGTCTTCTTTTCTTTTCTTTTCTTTTTTTTGAGTTGGAGTCTCACTCTGTCACCCAGACTGGAGTGCAGTGGCCGCTCCTGGCCACCGCAGCCTCGACCTGCTGGGCTCCGGCGATCCTTCCGCGTCAGCCTTCCCAGTAGCCGGAATTACAGGCATGCGCTACCACGCCCGGCTGATTTTTTTGATTTATTGTAGAGATGAGGTCTCACTGCCCAGGTGGGTCTCGAACCCGTGGGCTCAGGCAATCCACTCACCTCAGCCTCCCAAAGGTGTGGGATTACAGGCTGAGCCACTGAGCCCAGCTTGTCTTCTTTTCTGACATGGGCTCTTCTCTGATATGGGCACTGAAACAAAAGCAAGTGGTGGAAGGATGATGGTACCAAGCCACTGCACTCCAGTCTGGGTGACTGAGTGAGACTCCAACTCAAAAAAAAAAAAAAAAGAAAGAAATATTCTTAGAGAAAAGAAAAAGCAAAAATCCAGGCAGCAATTATGATGTTTTTCTGTAAAATTATACCAAGTGTGTCTGCCTCTCCTGCCTCCCTTTCTACCACCTCCACCTTTTCCCCTTCTATTACCTCTGAGACTGCAAGACCAACCCCTCCCCATCCTCCTCCTCCTCAGCCTACTCAGTGTGAAGACAGTGAGGATGAAGACCTTTATGATGATCCACTTCCACTTAACACTTAATGAATAGTAAATATGTTTTCCCCTCCTTATGATTTTAATAACATTTTCTTTATTGTAAGCAGTAATACAGTATATGTATTTTACATATATAAGACATGTACTGATTGACTATTTATGTTATAGGTAAGGTGTCCAGGCAGCAGGAGGTTATTAGTAGTTAAGTTTTTGGGGAGTTATAAGTTATATATGAATTTTCAATTATGCAAGGGTTTAGTGTCCCTAACCTCTATGTTGTTCAAGGGTCAACTGTATGTGTCTGAACTGTAATATTTCACCTTATTATCATAATCAGCAGTCTAAAAGTAGTAACCTAGAATACATTCTATAAATATCACATCGGAAAACTGATCTAAAGTTATCTTATTGCTTTGCATATAATTTTATGCAATTTTGATGTATTTCATACTTAACAACTATATTTGTATTCTAAAATATGAAACAAAATGTGACTGATAGGTAATGTAGATATTTTCCCTTTATATTCCTCATTGATTATTCAGTTCACACATACTGATTAGCTGCCTGCACACTCTTAGGCGTCAGGGACTTTGTAGTCTGTAGGAGGAAACAGGAGCATCGCTACCATGTCCTGCCAGTTGATCCAAACATTGATAAAGTCCTGTCTCTCCTGCCTATTCTCACAATCATGCCCCATGTCAGAGCATCGCCAAATCATGCCTTGACTACTGCAGGATTCTAACTGAGTCTCCTGCCTTTATCATTTGGAATCAATCTAGCAGTAATTAAGAGTGTGGTCTTTGATTTCATGTTGCTTGAGATTAAAATCCTGCTTCGGCACTTAATGTGTAGCCTCACGCCAATTTTCTGACTTAACTAGACAGGGATGATACTAATTCTAACTATGATCTACATTTGATGATGACATGTAGTCAGTTATACTGCATCTTTACTAACATGCTTTAGTAGACTTTTTTTTTCTTCCTCTGTCAGTATTCCCCTTCAAAGTCTAGCTTCACTCATTCAGTACACCGAAAAGATCATTTGAGAAAGAAGTCAGAAAGGCCTTGAGGTGATTCCACATTGTGTTATTGTTTTTCCTTGCTATTGACTATATCCTCTTATTATAAATTTTTCCTGACTTCTGCAGAATGAGAGCAGAAGAGATGGCTGGCAAAAACTTCTGGTAATTCATTACAGAAGAAAATCAGTATAAAATACCAAATAATAATACATGAAGTTTTTCATTACTTTTACATGTTTCTTGAGTTAGTAACCAGAAATATTATTTATTTTGAAGAAAATTAATGAATAAAGGTAACAATTTATTCATACCAAAACATAACTATTTGACAGTTGACCAAGCATGATGAATTATTTATAATTTATAGTTATTTATAATTCTCAGGGTGATGAAATGAAGAAATTAGGAATTCAGCCTATTCCTATGATGGACAGAGATAAGAAGGATGAAGTCCCACAAGGCCAGGTATGAATTTTTACAGTCACAGTGTCACTGTTAAAGCAAAATAGCTTAAGGTGACCATGAAATTGTGCAGGAATAGAAAGCAATGTCATCTCACAGTATGTTTGGGCACAGGGAATAGGTCATTCCAGGTCTGTTGATTAAAATAGGAACTTTAGCACTCTATCCTGCAGGGGCTGAGAACTAGAGAAAGAGCAGCCTTGAAGCCTCATCCACCCAAACGTGCCTTCCCATGCTAAGGCACTTGTAGGAAGACTAGACTCTGGAGGAGTTGGTATTTGTAATCTGACTTGAGGGCCAACTCTAACTGCTGAGTTTGTTCCCAGGGCTACAAGCCAAAGTGGGGAACCGTGAGAGTCTGGCTGCCTTGTGGACTAGAAGAACTTTGTGCTCAGGGACAGAACCACTTGAAACCTTATCCATTAGATGGAATTTGGGACAGTAAGGCCAAGGTTAGGAAGTCCTGCTGGACTTAAAGAATTCACACTACCCTGTCATCACTCCTTTCGACAACTGCCACTGAAGCAAATAAGCCTTCTTTTCTGACTTGAAATAGAGAGGGTGGATGAATTTGAGTTGCTGTAATTTAACAAGCAGGAAATATTTTGTCATTGGCTAAACAAAGAAATTTTTGGAGAGTGATGATATAGATTTTTATTAAGGTCCAATTTTTTTCTGACAAATAATGCTTAGTACTTTATTTTAGTACATTGTGAGTTTTTTTCCACATAAATTGACATTAGTTGTCCCATTTCCAGGACTTACCACATACTTTATGTTTTTTTTCTAATGCTTTGAGCGCCCCAGTGCTTTGTTAATTTGCATGTGTGTGTGATGTGATGTCCTTCTCAGATTATGGTCTTCTTACACTACCCATCTTCTAATGGCATACTATGGAAGTAGGTAATGAACAAATAATTATAATAGAGACAAATTTAGAAAATATTTCACAGGATGGTGGTCTTAAATAAGTTCTCAAATTTTCCCACTTTTTAAAGTTGGTCTATACAAAATGTAGGCAAGTTGGCAGCTCACAGAGGCACCAGCACAGCAAAGTGGCCACATGTCTTCCCTGGTCAGTGCCTTCGCGCCTGTTCCTGGCTGGTTATCCTGAGGGCATGTCATTATTCCTTCTTCATTTGAAAGTACAGCTGACATACCTGTCATGCATGCTGCATAGATATTTTGCAGTGTAGCTGCCTTTTAACATTGTGTATGGAATTTTTCCATATATGGGTAACAGCTGTTTGTCTTTTCTGTTTGATGTCTACTTTTCATAACATATTGGAAATGTCTTTTACCAACCTGAGAGTATATAAGTATTTGCCTATATTTTCTTTAGTTGCTTTTTTGTTTCATAGCTTTACATCTGATTTAATTTATTTGGTATTTATCTTGTTATATCGTTTAAGATAGGGATCTAAAATGTATTTCTTTCCAAATAAGCATTCATCCCAGCAGAATATATAGAATAACTGGAAAATTTCTTGTTGATGCTGTCAAAATATGGGTTCTGTTCTGGTGTTTTTAAATTAATAGTTTGTTTTAGAATATTTTGTTTTTTGTCAAAATTTGCGGTCCATTTACATTGTGAGAAAGTTTTAAATACAATATTTCTGTGATTAGTTAATATTTTACAAACTATATTGCTTTTAAATTGCTGATTACTGCGAAATTATTCTTTGCCATAATAATGAAATAATCTCTTTATTGGGGATTTTCTGCCCCATGACAGCTGTTAAATATTAGAATAAGAAAATCTCTGTATAAGCCACAAAGTTTAAAAAGAACTCTTAGGCATTGTTCTGGTAAGACAACTCTGGTGATAGGATTTACAACAGGAGAAAGCAAAGGGGCCATGCAGACGTGATCCCTCTAAAGCCTTTGATGCATCTCATTGAAGTTCAGTTATTTAAAGAAATGAGGAAGCCATGGTTTGGGGTCACCTCATCCAGGGAGGTAGTGTTCTCTTGTACGTGTTGTCAGCCACTTGGACTAGACTATGGTTTGGGGTCACCTCATCCAGGGAGGCAGTGTTCTCTTGTACATGTTGTCTGCCACTTGGACTGGAACATCTGTGTTCTCTGGCTGGCAGTCACATGGTCTTCTCTATCTGGCCTTCATTGGGCCAGTCTGAGGTAGCATTATTTATTTTCACAATGACCCAGAATTCTTAGTAGAATGTTCTTTCATATATTTTCTAAAATATGACAGATTTAAAACTGTGAAATCTAAAATATCAAGAGAACAGTAATCTGAATGGGCTATGATAAGGTCAACTCCATTTTTTTTAGGTCAATAGAAAGGGCTAGGTAATGAATAGAACATTAGTAGACCAAGCACAGCACCAAAGACAAGGGTATAATAGACAAACAGTAAAGTTCACTGTGACTCCTGAGTGCAGAGTTGGAAAGAGTCATCCTGTAGAGAATAACAAGCTTAATTCTGAGATGTCTGCACTAAAGTGTGACCAGAGATAAGAGCAGGACTCAAATTATAAACAGACTCATCCACAAATGGAGTGTCATTTGAGGAACTTGGGTTCCCAATGTCAGTAGGTAGTAACTTTAGTAATATGTTTTGAATTTTATTTCTAGAATGTATTGTAATGCACCCTACAATTTAACAATATTTACTAAACCCAAATATCACATGCAGCAAAACTAGAACATTTAAAATTTTATAATTAGACTTCAGAAACAGAAAATTCACATGTAAGACATGTAGGTACTGCCAGAATCGCTAACATGCAGCTTTGCCTCTTGCCCATGGTCTTGTCACTACACAGCTTGGATTCTACAATGCCGTGGCCATCCCCTGCTATACCACCCTCACCCAGATCCTGCCCCCCACGGAGCCACTCCTGAAGGCTTGCAGGTATGTTCACGCTTCATGTTGTCATGTCATTTTCAAAAGGAAGATTCTGTACAGGACTTTCCACTCCGTCCATGTGTGTAAGTATCTTATCTGCAGTTTACAGTAAATGCCATCCGTCCATGGGCTGGGTGTCCAGGTGTCTAGTTGTTGTGCTCAGGGGTCCTGGCACTCTTGGTTAACAGCTTTCCAGGACCACTTCTCCCCTTTGGTTCAATAACCCTCAAACCTGAGTCCCAGGCGCTGTCAGAGGCTCAGGTGGCTCCTTCCAGCCACACTCTGACAAGAGGGATAGCGGGAACAGGCTGGGGCAAGGGCCGACATGGATCAAAGACCTACTGACTGGGAGGGTTCTTCCTGCTCTTTCATGCCTGCATTCAGTTCAGGCCAGTTTCTGGACATTTCTTTCCTAAAGGGAGTATGAGTGGTTCTTGTGAGGGCAGGCATTGTTTCAGGCTCTAGGCTAGTTGCATCTGCACTGAGGATGCCTTGTCCCCTAGACATCCTCAGGTCTGGCTGGAAATCCCTGAGCCCACTTGCGCCATTCTGCTGAGGGACTCGTGGGTCTGGAGTCTGCCTGTGAGATGGTCAGGAAGCCCTGGCTGTCACAGATGTCACAGCCATGGCACATCTCTTACAGTATGCCACACAAGCACATGTGAAGAGTGTCGATTTGTAAAGTCACTCATTTAGCAACAAGGAGCAAGAAGTATTTTTTTTTAATTATTATTTTGCAGAGAACCTGTCAGTGCTGTTTTTTTAAAAAAAACAAAGCAGTAATGTCTGCTCAGAGGTGCCTGTTTTAAAAAAGAGGCTCAGCTGAAATCACTCAGTTTATTGTTTCAAGGGAAGAGGGGGAACTTGAATGGCATTCCCTTCATCTTTAAGCTTTTTTCTTCCAAAGCAGCACATAAGCCATCTGTTATCTGGTCTAGCTTCATATTTCTCTGTTTTTCTCATTCTTTTTGAAGGGTGAACTCAATTAACAACATTGAAATTTTTAAAACATTTTCATTTTACTTTTCAGAGAAGTTACATCTGGAGAAGGCAGAGGGCAATAGCCAGGCAGCTGTGTGTGCTGATTTCCTCTAGGCAAGGTGGTGGCCAGGAGAACTTTCTAGCCACTCAGCCCTAACCCCACCTGGGGTCTGGTTGGAGTGGCTGCACCCAGGACATACTCAGGACAGACGTGTGGCTGGATCCTTTAAACAAAACAAAAACTCACCTGGGGTTTCACATATTTTGCTGTTGAAACTTTTCTTTTTAAGGATAACTAGCAAAACTAACTACCAAGAACATAAAAATATGCCTTTTCTCTTTTTTGATATTAAAGATATAGTTTCTCTTTCCTCTCTGCTCCTGGGGAAATGTAACATCCTAGTTTATTTAGTTGAGTCTTAACTGACCTTCACCAGTGGTTAGTTTATTAAAATCTTACCTGTTGGTATAAGCACTAAGCTATAAAGGAGTGTGAGCCAGGATTCTCTAGTGGGACTGGATTATAAGTGAAAAGAAATTGGAATAGCAATCTAAATTCAGACATACTGTTGTGAAAGATCCCAAGCAATCTTTGGAAGTCCTTTCTTATCGAGAAAGCCTGAGTTTTATGTTAGCTATTTGGAAGCCAGCGCACAAATATTTACTGTGCTTATCAAACCCTGGAAGAGTCTGTTGAGGCACTTTCCCTGGGAAGGTTTGAGAATGTGGAATTCAGCTCTTTGGCCATGTGGTACTGGATGATGTGACACAGAAGTTAACAGCATCACACTTTTCAGGTTATATTTTAGGAATTCCTCTTGTCCAAAGGTGTCTTAGCATGTTTGCTTCAAACAAGTCTGGGGGAAGAATTTTAAAACTGCTCTATATGAATTTTGTGTTTGCCAATGCCAGTGCTGACTGATTTTGACTTTGCACATAAGAGAGCAAAGTCAAGGTGGAAATGTTGCTAAGAACTCTTCAGGTTAGCCATACAAAGTAAGATGGTTGTGCAGTGGTTGTGATCACACGACTGAAGAAGATGAAGATTCCTGTGATGTTTGAAGAAACCTGTGATGTCTGTCTATTGACAGACGAGAAGCAAGGACTAGAGACATGAGGCTGCACCTCAAATGAGACACTTACAGACCCAAACACGAGTTTACTGTACCAAGAGAATGCCAAAAGTTTGTGCCAGGTGTAACTGCAAATGACCTTTTATATATGACACAGTGTCATAAGGTTATTTCCAGATTTTCAGTGTACCACGATAGTTTCAAGGTCTCCTAGAAGACACACTGTTGCACTTAGGGTTGTTTGTGTTCTGTTGAACATTCTACTCTGGCATTGCTTCCTTTCCATGTATCCTGTATACTCCTCAGTGGTAAAACCTAGGGTTCATTCCTTCTCTAGTTAGTCCTTCTAGCTGATTAGGGATGATGTGTCCTGCTTCCTAGCCTCACTCCCTGCCTTTGCGGTTCAGAGCTGGTAGGACCAGCTGCCCCTGCTGTGTTGGTGGCTCCAAGGCTCTTTGCTGAGGAGACATTATGAGAGCCAGCCTGTATCACTCTGGTGATCATCAGAGTCCAGTGGCACCACAGAAAGCCACTGGGTATTGTCCTGCCACAGGACTATTGGGTTAATTTTTAAGAGATGCTTTGTTAAGCTCTACCTGTCACTGCATATTCTTCCCATAGGGACAATCTCAATCAGTGGGAGAAGGTGATTCGAGGGGAGGAGACCGCGACATGGATCTCATCCTCGCCGGGGGCCCAGGAGGCCTCTGAGAAGCTGCCTGTGAAGACCGACCACTGACTGCCACTGACAAGCTGTCCTGTGTAGAGTCTCATCTTGCTTCTTTGACTTTTTTCAGGTTTTTTGTTTGTTTGTTTTTTATTTTGGGTTTTTTTTTTTTGTTTGTTTGTTTCTGGGAGAAGAGGAACCTATGCCTGGTAACTGGGGTGCAAACCTCTTCAACAAGGTAACATCAAGTAGGTATGCCCAGCAGATGATTTCCTGCCAATCTCCTCTGTAGCACATCATGGACAGTGAGCAGCCAGGACCACCCGTGTTCAGAAACCAGCTGGCCAAGACCCATTTGACTCGTGAACTGGACTTTTCTCACAGGCCACCATTGCTGAGGACTTAATGGAAATGTACAACAGTTACTCAGAAGGGAGATTTTTCCATTGTGTCTTTCCAATGAGAGTTTAAAATGGTACTATTATGGTATTGTACTTTGGCTTTAACACCAATGTTACTTTGATGTTGGTTATAAATAGGAGCTTTTACACATTGCTGTTGTGAATGTTCATGTGTGACCTACTTAAATTTCCCTGGGTTGTATGTAGTCCACAGCCTTAGGACAAATATCACTGAGGCTCCAGTATAAGAAATGGTGGAAAGAAGTCAAATTCTTATTTCAAATTTCATGAATTTAGTTAGGCAGACTGAAGTATATTCAGTTTAAACTAAAGGGCTTAGATGAATAAATTTAACACAAAAAGAAGCAGACTTTCTATCATTTTTGAGACGAGATGCAGATATATATTACAGTAAATTTCAGTATCAATTCAAAAGATGTCTAAGATTGTTGTCTTGGCAAATTGACTGAGCCCTTTGCATAAAGAACAAAATAAAAGCAAGTCATTTACATTTTTTAGTGGGCAAGACTTATGGATGCAACATGGGAATTTTTAATGATTCCTTTATACTTTCACTTTGTGTCATTGCAAAATTTTAGACTTACATCCACAATGAAAAGTTCTTTCTAAAAGTTATTTAACTAAAAATATCGTACATTTCCCTTAAAAATCAAATTAAACCACCAAATTTAAGTCTTGTAATTGGACTCTGTTCTGCTGCATTCATCACCCATTCATCCATTTTCTCAGGCTACACAATTGTATTTTATAAGCTTTCTATCCATTGAACAGAAGTGGAAGAAGGAATTAGTGCATCTCAATGGCCTCTTATTTTTATTGTTTTTACTATTCTCACAGATCAAAAATCTACTTAGAAACCTGTGGTTTGGATTGTCTCTTCTGTAAGACTTTTTGGTTGACTAGTCTTGTATAATGTAAATGTTTTGGAAAAAAAATACAAAAGTAATACTCTGGACCCCTTCCTACAAAGATGATAAAACCATAACTTCTGGTGCATATTAAGTCTTTAAAGATTTTTAGCACAATGGCCCAGTAACCTCCGAGTCTGTGGTTAGCTCTAACCTGAAGGAATTAGATAGAGTCTCATTCAGGAAGTGACAGGCCAATCGTAACAAATAGCTTATTCACTATTCACATGGCAGGAAATTGGAAGATTCCTTTTAATAAAATACATTTAAAAAATAAGCTTCTACATGTTTAATACTACATGCATTGCTGTTCATATGAGCCTGATTTTTGCAAAATTAAATCAGAGGCTTCTACAACATGGTTTATTTATGTTGTAGCAGAATTGGCTATAGATAAACATTGTTCTTATTTTAAAATTAACACTATGTATTCAGTTTCCTTATGGGCTTCAGAAAGTTATCATCTTCCCTCATGGAGCTCCATTTACTGTTTTAATTGTACAACATGAAGTAAATGTAATAACTAAAGAAAGAGGAATACCACTGTGGCTAGATATACACACACACTATATATATTTATGTACGGATGTAATGAATGTAGACAGACACATAGATGTATATATGATGCACACTCATATGTATGTATGTAGACATACACATGTGTACATATGCAGTACACACACACACACACACACACACACACACACACACACACACACTTATACATATGAGAGACGGAGAGAAAAAGGGGGAGAGAACCAGGCACGAAGGCAAAATATAAAGCAGCCACGTTCTTCAAAGACAATGATTCTTCCTGAGTGAAAACATCTACTACTTGATAGGGTTGACTAGAGAATGTCATTTTGTGTTAGCATATTCGTAGAATTGAATTCTAAAAAGTGGCACATTTTTCTGCATACAAATGTATGACACTGGATCCCACCAACTTTAATCACAAGAGTGAATGTCGTCATCTAATTTAAGTTGGAGATTGAATTGCAGGAGAGGGTATATTATTTAAGATTATTGTTTAATTAAAAGAATTTGAAAGGAATGCATTAATTCAGCTTTTTAATTTAAGAAAATCATGGAGGTAACAATCTCATGGCTATTTTTGCATTTTGAGGTTATTACAGAAAACAGAAAATGCTCTTAATTTTACATAATCAAGTGTATTGTATTAAGTGACCTCAATTTTGAAGCATTTCCTGGGAGTGTATATGGATTTATTGGTTGGCAGATTTCTTGTGAAATATTGTCATCATAGAAACAGTTTGAACATAGAACTGTATTCTAATGTAAACTGTTAATATTGCTTTTGCCATGTGTAAGCATAGATTTTCTTAAAATAAAAAGGCCCAGGATGCAGTGATATTTAGTTGATAATTTGTTTTGGAGAACGTGCAGTCAGGAGTATTTTTGTATTTTGACAGATACATTCAGCAGACAAACACTTGAGCTCTGTTTCTTATCTTTTTCCCAGATTTCTTAAAAGGACAGTGTGATACCAGAAGCCAGGCAGATGGTTTTTATTACCAAAAATTTTGATGTACCCTGGGTAACATAGTGAGACCCCTTCTCTACAAAAGTTAAAAATTTAGCCAAGCATGGTGGCATCACCTGTAGTCCCAGCTACTTGAGAGGCTGAGGCAGAAAGATCCCTTGAACCCAGAAGTTCAAGGCTGCAGTGAGCTATGATTGCACCACTGCACTTCAGCCTGGGCAACAGAGTAAGATCTCGCATCTATTTTTTAAAAAAATTTTTATTAAAATTTTTTTTGGATGAGATTCCCATTAAGGTGGTATTTTATATTGAGCCAGATTTTCCCCGTCAAGTATAAATTTGGTATCTTCTATGAGTATGTATAGAATGTTCAATTTGCAGAAATTTGTATTGGTTACATGAACTTGTAACAGTTATGTTTTATAGTCACATGCAATTATTCCATTATTTTTTTCAGGCAAAATGAACATATTTTTTAGCTGGATATGTTCTCAGAAACATAAATGCATGCCAACAACATGAAATATTGAACTCAGCCAGGGGAATAGCATCCTAAAAATTGTAAGCATCTTATTAATTAGTAATTGAGTCTGTGAATTAATTAATTAGAAAAAGTTAAAGAAAACACAATGGATGTGAAAACTAACTCTCACAAATGGCCATGATAGGGCAGGGACTGTGGACCATTTCATGGGTTTAGTTGTGTCTAAGAAATGCCTGGAAACCCATCTTGCAGATGAGACTAAGGTGAAACATTAGACACGATGATCCTCATTCCTGCCTCCTCCTCAGTGGAAAAGGACTGGACAGATGACTGCAGTGGTACTCCAGGTGACGTGTTCTCACAGCTTCAAAAACAAGTCATTTGAAACCAGATCTATTCAGTATAGGTTTCCTCTTTTTTGGCATGCTTTTCAGATTTTTTGTTGTTGTTTTGTACAATCTCTGTGAGTTTAGCTTTGTTGGTGTTTTATGTACACTAGTTATGTTTGTACAGAATATAAATATATGAATAAATCCTTAGATACCTGTTTTTTTTTTAATAGGTCTAGGTTTGGGTATTTGTGTTTCTGGTCTTTTAACTCAAAATTGAGGTTTGAGCTTTAATAGGACTACATTACTTGCCATGCCTTGGCCTGTGCCTTTATTTAAATCCTAAAATTTTACTTTTTCTTCTGTATATTCATTATTCTGATTTTCTTGCTTAACTATAACTGAAAATATTTAAAGAAACACATCCATGGTTAGTTTTATCAAGTTGAATGAACCGGATCTTTCTTTCCTCATCAGATTTTTATCTATTAATTGACTTCACTCACATACACCCTGGTGACTATCACCAATGAGCGGTTCAGATTCAGCTTTTTCTGCAAGGACTTCCAGGAACTGTGACATGGCTATGATGTGATTTTGTTGGCTTTCAGGTACATAAGCATGATTTAGATCTTGAGAATCACTTCTTTCTTTACATATTTCAAACATGTGTTTGCCTTTTATACTTTGCTGATTTTATTTAGGAATTAATTCTTTAAAGACTCTTCATTTAGTCACTATTGTGGATCCCTACTATTGCAAGTATGTCTGATTTAAAAATTACTATAAAATGTAGATTAGCCAAGGTATGCTCTCAGTTACTGGTTCCCGTGCTTGTCAGTGCATGGCTGTCATATTTTACATGTGCATTAGTATTTATTCTAATTCACACTTTGCTGACTTATTTAAACATTTATATTAAGTTTAAATGAGTGATATCCAATGAAGTACATGCCTTTTGTCTTTTTTTTGTTTTTGGTAACTGGATATTGTGGTTGTCTGAAGCATTGGAAGCATTTTATATGATGACAAAAAATAGCAAGAAACAAAGAGAATGGTTACAGTGGTGTTCTGCTTCCAGAGGAAAGACATGAATGATTACCAAGACACACACTTGAAGTCCAAGGAAGCATGACTATCTTCACTCGGAGTGACTCTTCTCAAGCCAGCAATGGACAGCAGCACTGGCCAGCTGTGTAGTCAGGCTGCTTCTCACTACAAGTCTGAGAAAACCGTACCGGAAGGCACTAAGACCCGGCATGGCTCTGTGGGGGGTCAGAAGAGCATCACCTAGGTTCCAGGCGGAAACAGGCAGCTGAGTGCAGAGTTTGCCAAGTGGGGAAGTCGGTTGCACATTTGTTTTCACCTCATATTTCTGAGGTACTATATATTTGCACATGTTTGAGTGAAATAGTTTTATTTCTATTATAAGTTAAGTTCTAAAAGTATATTGCCTAAGACTCTAACCCAACTACAATATCATTAGAACGTGGGCATTGAAGCCTTTGATTTTTTCTTCAGTCACCTTAATCCCCAGTCTTATGCTGTATCTCAAATAGCCTGTAAACGACATGTGGGGACGTTATTTTTCACATGAAACTTCGTATGGTGTATGTGCCGTGTGTTCATCTGGTAAAGGATGATAGATTTGTCCACAGAAGGTATTTCTTCACAAGGACCCCACCTGTTTGAAATTATGTGCTTGCCCAAAACACTGTGAACAGTTGCCAAAATGTGTACCAATGCAGCATCTTGACTCTTTTTGAGAAGAAAAGGTGACTTTCTTTCCATGAACAAAAGAGACCCTATGTCCATACCTAGCTAAGGCATCTAAGAGTCTGCTGGTGATAATCTCCTTGCTGACCAAAAACTCCTGGCATGTAACACACATCATGTGCTATCAAACA